TTATATTGTTATTTATTTGCTTCTGTTATTATTCCGCTGCAATTAATTATCAAAATCTGAACAATGGTTTAGAAGCAAAGTAAAAAAAATAGATAACACAATTCAACACCCCTTCTTGTGTATTTTTCTCACCTTCAGACTGTATATAATCACTAGACATAGAGTATATATAGTCATGACAATCAAACCTTCATAGGTTGCAACTTCGCCGAAGAGATCGTTATTTTAATTACACGAAGCAGGATGAGTGATGAGAAATTGCACGGAACTATTTGATAAAACAATCTTGATATAAGAAGAGTTATTATAGGTTTAGGAATTGATTCACCACATAAAAGGGATTTGATAGCAAGTATAATATTTTTAGTCTTGTAAAAATTAAAATGATTCACGTGGAGACAATTTAAATTTACTCACCACTTACGATTTTTGTTGACAAAAATTATACTACACTTTCATTTTCACACCAACAAGCATGATTTATGAACAAACATGAGTGTAATATTCATTGAGTCCTTCAAGGAAACAAATAATGTAATCTCCTTTGCGATAACCCTTAACTTTTGGAAGTAATTTAGAAAAACATTAAACATGGCATGTAAGTAGGGAAAGGGTGAAAATTTTCCAAGTTTATCTATTAAATGGTAATTGGTTGATCACCTTGACAAAGATGATATATCTCCTCTTAAAAAATAAAATGCAAAAGATATCGCCTTTATGGTATTAATCTTTTCATTCTACCAATTTTTTTTATTATTGTCCAGCCACATCATAATCATTGCGTTACATCTATCCCAAGCAATAGACATTGGATCAAAATCTTAAGGTTGAGGTAGAGTTTTGTTGATAAAACTTAATTTATGCTTCAATTTTTTTTTGTTAAGTTCAAACTTGGTTTAAAAATAATATTAAAGTAACTCATAAAATATGTAAGATTACCACATAATTTATCTAAATTTTCGCATTGATTAAATATTTATTTGCATTTTACATTTGTTGGTTTTACATATCAATCAAAAACTACCATAAAGAGAAGTGTATTATTATAAAGAAATTATTGCAATATCCAATGGATTTTTCCAAGTTCTATTTATCAAGTTGTGGTGGTTTTACCTCTCAATCAAAAACTATCATAAAAAGAAGTGTATCATTATAAAGAAATTATTGCAATATCCAATGGATTTTTTCCAAGTTCTATTTATCAAGTTGTGTTGGTTTTACATATCAAACAAAAACTACTATAAAGAGAAGTGTATTATTATAAAGAAATTATTGCAATATCCCATGGATTTTTCCAAGTTCTATTTATGAAGTTTTATTAGTAGAAGAAAATGAAATAAAATATTTTGTGGCTAAAAATTTTTGATATTTTTTGTGGTCCTTAACTACTTTAAAAGTGTCAATTCACAAGAGATTATTCAAACAAAGACACTCTTGTTAAAACAATGACCTTATTCACTCACTCAAATCCATAATGTGACAAACACTTACCTCATAAATGGGAAAGTCATGTTTACATACCTCAATGCAACTACACAACTTCACATTGGCCCTACCATCATAATGACACATAAAAGTGGTAGCTCAAAACTTCAACCTCATTCTTCCCATGAACTTACTCATTTTCTCTCAAAATTTCCATGACTTCCACTCTAGAACCTTTTCATCCTTCTTTTCTTCATATTACAAGATAGCATGTCTACATGGTTTATGTTTCTAACATTGAATGGAAACAAGGTATGCAATCAATACTATGTAACATTTTTATATGATTGTGATTTAAAATTGTATATGTTTTTGCTTCTTTGAATAAAACAATAATATAATATGTTAGGACTACCATATAAGAACGAATCGTTTAGGAGATCCCGAGTTCGAATCCTGACTTGAACAATTGTTTGTCAGACTTTACTTAACTTCAGGGTTTTCTCTAAGAACTAGTGATCTTTCAAAAATCATAGTTTTTTTTGGTTATTACTTAGTTGAACTAAAATTCAATGTTTAAATGCAGATATGAAATGATGGGCTTATTCAAAAATGGAACTTTGTTTTTGTATATTGTGATGCTACTTCTGTTGAGAACCTGTCAAGGCAAAGATCAACACATTCACCAGATACAGCCTGGATTCAGTGCATCTCGGTTAGATTGGAACGATCATAACGGTTTCTTTTTAGTATCGAACAACTCGGCTTTTGCTTTTGGATTCTTCACAACCCTTGATGTTTCTTTCTTTGTTTTAGTGGTCATTCATTTGAGTAGCTTCAAAGTTGTTTGGACAGCAAATCGAGGCTTGCTTGTAAGAAATTCTGATAAATTTGTGTTTGAGAATAGCGGAAATGCTTATTTGGAAAGTGGAAATGGTTTTGTTTGGACAACAAACACAACAGGACAGAAAGTTAAGGACATGGAACTGTTGGATTCAGGAAATTTGGTTTTGTTTGGTGAAAATAGGAAAATTTTATGGCAAAGTTTTAGTCATCCTACTGATACACTTTTGCCTGGTCAATCCTTTGTTGAAGGAATGAGTCTTAAGAGTTTTCCGAATGGAATGAACTTGCTTCATTTTCTCGGTTATGTAGAAGGTGATTTAGTTCTGTATGCAGGATTTGAAACTTCGCAATTGTATTGGTCCTTAATGGGAGAAATTAGTAAAACTCGAAGTTTGAAAAATGTTACATGTAGTAGAAAGGTTCACTATGCTTCTTTGGTTTCTAATTCATGGAACTTTTATGATAACAATGGAGTTTTGGTTTGGAAAATTGTGTTTTCTGATCATTCAGATCCTATGTCATTCTATGCTGCGATTTTGGATCCAAACGGTGCGATTTCGTTCTATGATCTTAACAAAGGAAAGTCTACTAATCCTGAGATATTGAAATTGCCACAAGACCCTTGTGGAATTCCTGAGCCTTGTGATCCTTACTATGTATGTTTCTTTGCGAATTGGTGTGAGTGTCCTACGCTTCTTCGGTCGCGTTTCAATTGCAAACCTCCTAACGTCTCAGCGTGTTCTCGTGGAAGTTCGACAGAACTTTTATATGTTGGTGAAGATCTTGATTATTTTGCACTTAAATATGATGCACCTGTTTTGAAAAAATCGAATTTGAATTCATGCAAAGAGGCTTGTGTAAGAAACTGTTCTTGCCTTGTGCTTTTCTATGAAAACAGTACAGGTAGTTGCTTTCATTTCGAGCAGACCGGGAGCTTCCAACGGTTTAAAGGAAGCAGCGGCGGTTATGTTTCGTATATGAAGGTTTCAACTGATAGTGGTGGAAATGACGGCGACGTTCGTGGAAGAAAGACTATGCTGCTGGTTTTTGTTATAGGGATTCTCACAGTTTTGGCGATTTTCGGTCTTATAGCTGGATTCTGGTGTTACTGTTTCAAGAAAAAGAAGAGTTTTGATGAGTATCCTCAAGAAGATATTTTAGAGGAAGATGAATTCTTTGATAGTCTCTCTAATATGCCGGCGCGTTTTACTTATAGAGCACTTGCTAGAGCAACTAAGGACTTCTCCACGAAAATCGGCGAAGGAGGATTTGGCTCGGTGTATCTAGGTGTACTTGAAGATGGAAAGACACAATTGGCAGTGAAAAAATTGGAAGGTGTAGGACAAGGAGCAAAAGAGTTCAAAGCAGAAGTATCGATAATCGGAAGTATTCACCACGTTCATCTCGTGAAGCTTAAAGGGTTCTGCGCGGAAGGTCCTCATCGAATGCTTGTTTATGAATACATGGCGAGAGGTTCATTGGATAAATGGATCTTCAAAAACAGCGAAAACACTATGTTGTTAACTTGGAAAACAAGGTACAATATTGCAATAGGCACTGCAAAGGGATTGGCCTATCTTCATGAAGAGTGTGAAGTTAGGATCATTCATTGTGATATCAAACCGCAAAATGTTCTTCTCGACGATAATTTCATGGCAAAAGTTTCCGATTTCGGGTTGGCGAAACTAATGAGCAGAGAACAAAGTCATGTTTTCACAACTTTAAGAGGAACAAGAGGGTATTTAGCCCCCGAATGGATAACTAACTACGCGATTTCGGAGAAGAGTGATGTGTTTAGCTACGGAATGCTTTTGCTTGAGATTGTTGGAGGAAGGAAAAACTATGATCAATGGGAAGGAGAAGAGAAAGCGCATTTTCCTTCTTATGTATCAAGAATGATGGAGGAAGGGAAAATACGAGAAGTTATCGACAAAAAGATAGATATCGACGAGGAAGATGAAAGCGTTGTGATAGCTCTTAAAGTTGCTCTTTGGTGTATACAAGATGACATGAATTTGAGACCTCCAATGAGTAAAGTTGCTCAAATGCTTGAAGGTTTGTGTATTGTAAATGATCCACCATCATTGTTACAATCTAGTAGTTATTCAAGTTTCTTGAAAATGAGTAGTGGAGAAGGTAGTTCATCAGGACAGGCTAGTTTTTATAGTAATGTTCCTTTGTCTTGTGTTCAATTATCAGGACCAAGATGAGATGACTAGATGTAGATTCATATTCTTTATGTTTGGATTTATAATCACTTTGAAATTCATTTCAATCATTCAAAATTTTGTATTGTTTGAGTATCAAAATTTTGTATTGTAATGGAGACTATCAAAGGAAGAGATTTGAGAACATCTGTCCTATGAGATAGAAAGACTAACGGCAACCCTAAATTCCATTACAGAATATTCTAATCAAAAATACTATTACGCCAGAGTGTTTTTAAGTATTTTTTGCACCAAATCGAAGTTGGACACAAAATTATATACCGGACTTTGTCATCTGACCCAACTTCAATCACCTTGTTTATTCATCACAAAATATTATTTCTCCTATCAAAATAACATTATTGAATTCAAGAACTAGAAAGAAAGTTATTGAGCATTAATTTATTTCTACCAAACTTTTATACTCTCAAAAGATGCAACACTAGAACCCTCCCTAGGTTACAATAACACATTCTCTTATTTATGCCATAACATGCATAAGCTATTTACAACTAAAAGATGTTAGATTTTAGAGGCTGCAGTCATCTCAGGTGAATATGTATGATTTTTATGTTGCCAGTCATTATCTTCATCTTCATTTTCTTCACTATCCCATAGAAATTTTGCATATGAAGCCAACACATAGCTGATGTCATAATAACAATAATAACATTAACTACACATTTATTTGTCAGGACACAACACAACACAGATATTTTTTAAACAAAGAAATTTATTTTTTAGATTTATTGAAAAATCAATATATTTGAACTATATAATTCAGATACATCGATTCTTCAATTCAATGAATTTAAAAAATAAACTTCTTCTTGTATTAAGTATTTGAGAGAATATATCTTACCAATCATTTGGATCACTTTTAAAAGCTTGATCAAAATATGCTTCAGCTCTATCAGCATTCTTCTCTGTTTGCCATATTATATTTGCATATAGTGATAAAGCATCACCATAACTAGGGTTAGCCAAAATGGCTCTTTCAACATACTCCTCTGCTTTACCATAATCTCCACAAACCTATTTCATGTCACAACCAACCATATTCTTTTATCAAATTTCCACTATACCCTAATCTTCATTTTTTTTTTAATATTTTGTAAATTAATATGTGATCTAAATATATGAAAGATTGTCTTTAAGTCAACACATCTGTAGTGAGAGTTGGATCGAAATCATATAATAATCTAGTAGAATCTTGATCTCGATCCCGTTATTACTACTATTGCGTAGACTACTGAGGATTAATAATATGATTAAGGTTAAGTAGATATAAGCTAAAATTAATTAATTACCTCTTTCAAAAACTTAGCATAATTTCCAAGTAAAAGATAATTATTTGGATTTGCTTCAATCATGTTTTGATAATAAGCATCAGTTTCATCTCTACCATAATTATTCTCCCACCCATTTCCATTTCCACCACCACAAATCCTTCCACCATCATCACATCCCATTCCACCATCACCCATTACTAAAGTTTGCAACTTTCCAACTTTCTTGCCACCCTCTTCATGATCCAAAACTTGCTTATTCAAACTATAGCTTGAAAATAGAACTTCTTCTTGTTCCACTATATTCTGATGAGGATTCTTAACAAGGCTACTACGTGACGCGAAGTTTTTGTTCTTGGTTTTTGAAGAGGTTGTTGCAAGTGTTTTAGGATGGTAGTGGTGATTGAGTTGTGGTTCATGGGAAGATTCCATTGAATGAGAAAGAAGGAAAGAAGTTTGAATTGGTGCACTATAGGTTCTTAGTAACATGTTTTTGTGTTGGAAGTATAGAGAGAAAGTGAAAAAGAGAGTGATATAGAGAAATGGAGGAAGGTGTTTGAGACAAATAAGGTAGACGTGACTAAATTTTATTCATGATGAAGCGGTGAATATATGGCGGCATTATTGGTACACCAAATTACAAAAGTTTTAGAATATGACATATGGTTTCTCATAAATCAAAGATTATGACATATGAGGAAGCAATTGATGGGGAAAATATTTGGTGCACACTCGTGAATATACTTTGAGAGAGAAAGAGATATAGAGATTAGAGATATTGATCATGTATTGAAAGATAGTAGAGGTAAAATGAAGTGATAATGTTACAATTGGTTTATATATATATATATATATATATATATATATATATATATATATATATATATATATATATATATATATATATATATATATATATATATATATATATATATATATATATATATATATATATATATATATATATATATATATATATATATATATATATATATATATATATATATATATATATATATATATATATATATATATATATATAATGTTTGGTAACGTAGATCTCCTTGTTTTTATAAAGGTCTATTTTAACAACATGTATTTTAGGGTACATTTATCCAATTTTTAGTAAAAGTTTGCTAAAACGCACCTTCATAAAAACAAGTGAGTGTATTATACTAAACCCCTGGAGTTTGTGTATTTTAGCAACATGCACCTTAGGGTGCATTTATCCATTTTTAGTTAAAGTTTGTTAAAACACACCTTCATAAAAATAAGTGGTTGTATTATAGCTAGGACTGAAAATGAGTCGAGTCGAGTCAAGTCGAACTCACCTCAGCTCGGCTCGACTCGTTAAGAATTGGTTCGAGTTTGACACAAACTTTTTTTTAAACTCAAACTCGACTCGTTATAAGTTCACGAACAGTTCGATTTAACTCGTTAGGTTCATCTCATTAGGTTCAGCTCACATGATTCACGGATTTAAAAACTATTTTTTTAGATATATATATTTTTTAGTATATTTGACATTTTAAATAAATATATTTTTTTAAAATAAAATATTAAAATAAAATAAAAGTTATCATATTGAAATTTAACTTTATCTTCGAAATCTACTAATTCAAAACCTACACAACTTTCAAGAGATACATTTGAGAGTCTAATTCAAAAACTACTAAATTGAAGATTAAATTTGTCTAAGATTTGGAGTAAATATTTAACCATATTCTTAAAGACGGTATAATTCTTCTCATATGTAATCGAGTTGACTCATGAACCTAACGAGTCGAACTATGTATAGTTCAAGTTCAGTTCATTTAGTTAACGAACTTAATTTTTCGCTCATACTCAACTCATTGGTTCATGAACCTTGTTCATCGATTTAATTGTCGAATCAAATTCCGAACTATTTTCGAGTTGGTTCGGTTCATTGTCAGCCCTAATTATAGCAAACGCTTGTGAAATTTGTTATAATACACCCACTTATTTTTTTATGATTGTGTTTTAGTAATATACACCTTAAGATATATTTAAGAAGATTTTAGTTAAAACTTGTTAAAATAGAACTTTATAAAAATAAGTGGGTCTACGTTAGCAAATCCATATGTGTGTGTGTGTGAGAGAGATAGATAATTAAAGTTTCTATTCAATTAATTATTAAATAAAAATAAAAATTTAATTGATCTTTAATTTTATTTAAAATTTCATAATTTAATAAATAATAAATATAAATATATATTGATATTGATAATTTAATGCATATATTATTGTCTTTAATCTAATTTATCAAATTATAAACATAGATAAGTTTGAGGTCAAATTCTTTGTCCCTCAAATCCAATCTTGAACCGGTTTGTTTTGGTTTTCTTAATTAATTTTTATAGTATAATTTAGTTTTGTTTAAGAAAGATTAAAAAAAAACATTTCATAAAAGTTTGATTTGAATATTTATTTTTAATATATTATTTAAGATATCTTGTTATTTTATTATAAAAAAATTGGATATTAAAATTTAAAAAAATTATTTAATTTTTAAACTATTTTAAATAATTTTTCATATAAATTATTTTTGAGATAACTTTTGAAAAAAATTACAATTTCAATTATATTTTGATTTTCAATAATGCATTTTTATGTTATAAAATATCAAAAATAATCTTTTAATTAAATAAAACTTGTAATACTTTAAAAGATAATTATATAAAATTTATTTTTTAATATAGATAAATATATTTTTTTAAAGTTAAAACAAAGAGGGATGAGGCCCCTTATTTGGTGCCTTAAACAATTCTAATAAATTTTTACTATAGTTATGTTTACGTTAATTTAGATGAACTGATCATTGATCGAAATTTATATTTTTAAAATATACATTTAACGTAAATAAAATTACATGGTAAATTAATTATAACCTTTCAATAATATAGATAATTTAACCTTTTCATAAGTATTTGTTGTTGTTATCATCATAACTATTTATAAAATCATATACACAAATAACTGTGATTTTTAATAGTAAAATATATAAAGTCATTTATTAAAAAAAATGGTAGTAGACTTATACTTTAGAGAGAATATATACTTTGTCTTAGTTTTTCTTCGTCAAAGAAAATGGATGAGTGAGTCAGTTTTTTATCTGAAATTATCAATTTGCACCATTTGTTTCCTTTTTGATTTAAATAAAAAGTTGAATTAAGTTTTTTTAATATATTTTTGTGATTTTGTTGTTTATGACAGTGTTGTCTTTTTCACCGTCTATTAATTACATATTCAAAAGTGTTGATAATTGATATTTCAGTCACTTTCATTTTATAGTATTATTTGTTGATATTTTATTGCTTTAGTATTATTTACTTGTTGTAAATCTGTTATTTTTTTAAAATATCAAAATTTTGAAGCAGATATTTACTCCACTTAAGTACTATCAATTTTGTAGGCATGATAAACCTCTTTGCCTATTGAACTTGGCCTTACAGAGAGACACGTTTGACATACATTATTGTATGGGTTAAGGGACCCATGCCATGTCTATGTTTCTGTGCTTTATTAGCTACAAAATTGAACGGTTGAGAATTTGTTTTGCATGTGACAACACTGTCCAATAGAGGCTAAACATTCGTCAACATATGTTTGGGTGAACAAGTCGCATGTTTTGTTCTTATAAGGCGTTGCCTCATAATAATTGGTCATCTTGCAACACAAACTCTAGTCACTATAGTCATTTAATTACACTTGTTGTATGTACTTAGATACTTATTTTTCATAGAAATATTTTTTTTCTAGAAGAAAATGATATATAATAAGAATACAAAGGGAATTTTAATCCTTACAAATAAAAGACAAGAAAATTTTCAATCAATACTATTTCAATCAAAGATTTAAAAATGTTTCATACAAAATATATAAAAAATAGAGTTGGAATAAAAAATCTCTTAAATATATTTTCATTTTCAAATAATTTTTTACATTTCAACGAATATTATTAACACTAACAAACTCTAGATTAAAAATAAAATTATTCCTCTCATTCCATAAGGACCACAAAACCGCCAGCCAAATTACACCTCTAATAAAATTTCTCTCTAGACATTTACCACTTCCACTCCATTTTAAAAATTAATTAGACACATCCTCACTAAAATTCACAACTTTCCCATACCATTCTCCAATTTGCTTCCACGCTACCACCGAAATCTTACAAGAGAAAAATAAATTCAATAAATCTTCATCAAACAATTCACGCATAATGCATAAAGAATACACCGTAATTCTTCTCCTAAACAATAAAATTTTTAGTTGGCAATCCCTTCCACAATAATCTCTATCCAAAATTTTTAATCTTAACTGATACTCTAGTTTTTCAGAGCCATATGAACACTGTTTTTTTCTCCTCCTATATATATGGTCGATATTAGACTTTGATCTAATTCATTGTTATAAAATTGATTTGTACGATAAAGACTGTTACTTTATATAAATTTTTTGCATCTCCTCGCATTCAAGATTTTTTTGTTTGTTTTGGATTTGATGCGTGAATATAATTGATGGATGTTCTAAGATTTGACCCATACATCCAACATTAATGATGGGAAGGTGAATAGTTCGGTCGATAAACTTTAATATTATATTAGAGTTTATTCTAACTTATCTTTATAAAATCGATTTGTAAAATTAAAAAAAAAATGTTACTCTATATAATTTTTTTAAAGTTTTATGTAAATGAAACTTGGAATGTTTTTAATATTTTCTGGATCCTTTGTAATATATATCGTTGATATGTTAATAGTTGTAATTGAATACTATTGAGGGATGATTGTTAAGTATTAACAAGTGTGAGTAGTGTGGATAATAGTCCCACATTGGATAGAAATGTGGTGACTTGAGCATTTATAAGTGAGAGAACTCATACACCTAAGACGTTAAGGTTTTGGGTGAATATGTGGTGTGTCTCTCACAAAGGTTGCTCTAGCCCCAACAATGGTATTAGAGTCTGGTTCGAATAAGGGCACCTTGAGACACAAGGTTTATGTACAAATGTTTGATCTTTAATTCAGTTATTTTTTAGTACTAATGTACAAAAGAATTGTTTATGGTCCGCAATCCGAATTATATAACTTGAGTCTAGTTATGGAGAAATTTTATGGATATTTTGTCACTGCTCACTTAAAGAGTGTGAATTAAACGATCCAATCATGTATATAAATAATATTACATGGTTATCAAAAATAAATACATTATAATGTTACTTGAACAAATTTTATCTTATGACGGCTTTGACATGTATAATAATAATAATGATAATTATAAAACAATAAACTAAATTTTATACATAGAGGTTTTCTTTTTTCTCTTATATTTTACCAATACTTCTCTCTTGGGACCAAAGAACTTTTTTTTGACATTCATACCTTTTTAGGTTAATTATTTTATAGTCAAATCTCTGAACCTCAATCTATTGGCCATATTATTTATTGGTTACCGTCACAACCTTC